CGACCATGACCACGAATACGAACTCGATCCCCCTTCTCCACCATCTACAAAAACTAAAGCTGCGGCCTCGGGCTGGCACGCCCCTCCCACGCCTCGTCCTCGTCTCCCTCTCCCTCAGCTGCACAACGGCCGCGTCCACTCCTTCGCCGGCCCCGCCTCCGCCGGCGACGCCTCGGCGCTGCCCGCGAGCTCCAACGACAACTACACCGCCGCCGGGGCGGCGGCTTCAGGCGCCCCCGCCCCGCTGGCGGTGTAGTTCCCGTTGGAGCTCTCCGGCAGCGCCGAGCCGTCGCCTGCGGAGCCGGGGCCGGCGAAGGAGTGGACGCCGCCTTATTGCAGCAAAGTGAGACGGCGGTGAGCACCACGCGTGGGACGGCCGTGCGAGCCCGCCGGGGCAACTTTCGTACATGGTGCACAAGCTACTCAGCGCTCCCCCTGGTAGCAGGGGCTAGGTAGCGAGTGGCAGTGGCCAGTGCGTGTGGTACTGCACTTGCATGGAAGCAGTGCATGCACATTTCGGGTTTTGCTGATCTTCTTTTATGTGTGCACGCCGCACCATCATCGCGGCGGCACTGAGTGTCCGGCCACGCTCACACACTCTCACGTGCCACAGCGGTTTTTGACATTTGAGAGCTTTTTGCAGTATGACTATATGGGTTGAGATACTTAGAGAGTCAGAGAGATCGAGAGAGAGAGAGAGAGAGAGAGAGAGAGAGAGAGAGAGAGAGAGAGAGAGAGGTGGGATTACGCCGTCAATCCCGTAAACGCAAAATCCAGCTACGTCCGTACTTGCGTACTACACGCGAGTACTACACAAAGGGAATGGAACGTACACATGACAGAGCTGCCCGGCCCGCCGGTCACACGGCGAGCGGGAGAGGAGCGAGGGCGAGAGGATAGCGAGAGGGGGGGGGAGGGGCGAGGGCGGGCAAGGAGCGAGGGCGAGAGGGGAGAGAGAGAGAGTGAGGGGCGAGGGGCGAGGGCGAGCCCTTGCCCAGCGCCCGCCCTTGTCAGCCTGCGGTGCGCAGGCCGGCGAGCGGTGTCGGGCGCGGCAAGATGGAGCCGGCGGGGCGGTCGGGCGGATCGGCCGGGCCAAGAGGGCGGGAATTTAGCGATGCGATTTCCAGAGGGTTGAGTCTAGGTGTGTGTGCGGGTTTGTGGAGTGGGGGGGGGGGTGCGCACCACCAAAGCCTCAGAAGTGCCGCGTGGGGGGGGGCGCCTCCTCCTGGATGGACGTCTCAAAACGGCTAGCCCACTTGTCCGCGAGCAGCTTCAGCTTGTTGCAGTCGATCGTCTCACTGTCTCTTGCGGCCACGTACTCGGCCAGCAGCTCGCTTTTTTCCTTCGCCTCGGTCGCCGCCCTCTCCGACATGGCAGCGTCGCCCACCACTTGCACCGCCTCCAGCTCCTTGATTACCGCCTGAATCTTTGCGCCCTCCACCCAATCCTGCCGCGCGTAAGCCTCGCCAAACTGCTTCCGGAGGTCCAGCAGGCTTTGCCCCTCGAAGTCCTGCAGCTCCAGCTTGATGCCAGACCACTCCGCCCGCCTCTCGATCATTGCAACGTTGCACGCCGCAACCGCCGCAGCTTGAGCCTCCACCGCCGCCATCGCTTGGTCATGCGCTGTCTTCGCCGCACCGTATTTGACGTGAGCTGTCTCCAACGCGTCCAGCGCTGCGGCCGCCGCCTTTCCGGCTTCGCTCAACAAGTCAAAGGCAGTGCTCGCGGCGCGTTCGAGTTCGCGCTGCCGGCGGACGGCAGCGTCAGACGCCGCCTCGGCTGCCCTCAGCTCGCCGGTCGCCGCCGCCTCGCGGCCGAGGATCGATTCCCTGGTCGCAAACGAGCGGCCGCTGCCGCCGGAGCTGCTGCCGCCGCCGGAGCTGCTGTTGCCGCCGCCGGAGATGCGGCTGCTGCCGCCGGCCTGCTCCACCACGCGCTGCCGCTTCGGCTGCGGCGGCGTCGTCAGGCAGAGTGCGTCGGCAGGCGTCGTCAGGTAGGGAGGCGCCTCAGCGCCCTGCATGGCAGACTCAAAGTCCTTGAGCCGCCTGCACCACGCCTCGTAGATGAGGACAAAGAGGTGCTTGCCGTCGATGAGTCCGACGGGCAGAGTCCCGCTGCCCGTCGCTCGCAACCCCTGCCAGCAGTAGCCCGCGTCCTCCATCCCGCTGTAAAACTCCTTGGAGGAGGTCCAGAGCTGCAGGCGGTGCCCAGTCTTTTCGAGCACGTACTTCTGGATGTGGCCCGCGACAACGTCGCGACGCATGACCTCGGCCGTCTTTGCGTAGTTGCCTTCGTCGACGAGCCCGGTCTCGGCAAGCCGGTTGTTCACAGCACCAATCACACTGCGAACGACTCCTTTGTCCATAGGGTCCATCGTCGTCAGCGAGCGGGCGCCGCCCTCATCGTCCCCCATCGAGTTGACTCGCGTCAGCCCGTCCGCCGTCTGGCCCAGGTACGGCGCGGTCAGGATCTGGCCCGTGGCGAAGAACTTGTTGAGCCATTGAAGTACGCTGTCGCCCTTGTCGTGAGCCTTGACGCGGTTCTCCGACACAAGGGTGATAGTAAGCCGGCCAACCATCTCACCTCGCGCGCTTCGCCGCCCCGCCGGCCAGCGCGAGATGTTTTTTTTATCCTTAGCTTAGCCGCCTTCCACCTCGCCGGCCCGTCTTTTTCGTGGCGCTCGCTTTCTTTAATCTGGGCGGAGTGTGCACCGACGCCGGCCCCACTCCGCGCCGGACTCGCGCGCACTGCCACTAGCACGGGAGCCGGATAAACTCTGTTGCGCCCACCCACAGTTCGTGCTTGCTCAAATGGCGTCCACAAGGTGTGCAGCCAGGGCAGCCAGGTGGGAGACCTGAAATGCTGCCGCCTGGCAGACGGAAGCACGGAACACGCACGCGCTTGCGGATCCATTTCCCTGCGATACGCAGAAAAACTGCTTCTCCTCCTCAGTATGCGGCTCCCAAGGACCGAGCAACTTGTTGCCGTGCGCCTTTTATTGCGTCCGAGGGAGACGCGGCACGAAAATACGAAATGGAAAGGCCCAGGAGCGACAATGGGCCGCGCAAGGCATTTAATTTTTCCAAACCGTCCCGAAACGTGTTCACGACAATGCGTTGTGAAAGTCTCAATTAGTAATCGACCGTCCATCATCGGCATTGCGCATCTCTCGCCGCGCTTGTGGCCCGCGCATATATGCCCCGAGGCAGTAAAGCTGCCCGCAATGCCAAGCGGGCCTCAGACATCGCAGCTGTTGTCAACACCATCAGTGAAGAAGAACGTGCCGACTATGCTGCTTTGCCTGAGCTCCACGTCTGTGGCGCCGCCGCCTTAGTCTCCAAGCGGCCGAAGCACCTAAGGACAGCAGTCCTCAAGGTCAAGCACTCAATCGAGTACGTTGACAGGAACTGGCATAGGCTCAAGCTCACCCAAGAGGAAGGGGATCAAAGCAAGCCGACTGTTGACTACGGCGGCTTCAACTGCATCATGAATCACTACGCCCGCCCGGAGGGCAGCACCATGCCAGCTGGTACTCTCGTACGTGGCTCACGTGCCTGCTTCAAGTCTCGTAAATCAGAAACCTCCCTACCAGACAATGGCAAGGAGTATGCAGATATCATGAGAGCAGCAGCAGTTCTTGTCA